CTGCCCACCGGCCAAATGGCCATGTCTTTCGGATGCCTCAGTGCAGGGGCTGGGCTGGGCTCCCAGGAGACGGAGACCTGCTTGAGCACCAGGAAGCCCGATCCATCCGGGTGCCCCAGTGCCTGGTGCTGAGCTCAGCACATGGAGGATGGCCCATAACTGCTTGTGGATAGGAAGAAAGAAAAAGAAGGAAGGAAAGAAGGAGGGAAAGAAAGAAAGAAAGAAAGAAAGAAAGAAAGAAAGAAAGAAAGAAAGAAAGAAAGAAAGAAAGAATTCTTGATTTCTCTGATTTCTCTAGTCAAAGGGCTGGGAAAGGAGAAACTCAATAGAGACTTCATGGGAATCTGCAACCCTCATTCTACAGCTGTGACCCATGGAAGGTCTGATCTGCTGGGAGTAGCAGTATGAGCAAAGACCGATGATTTCCACCACAGCTCTGCAGCTAAGGCCCAAATCGTTGATATGATTTCCTATATTGATAACAAGAAATCCTCAGGCTATCCCAGTCCCTGTTCTACAACCATGCAGTCCCATCTATCCACAAAAGCAACAGCAGCAAAGGTCTTTTTTCTCCCTACCTTCCACTCAGAGGCATAGGGAGTCATAGGTTTAGTGTCTTCCGATCCCTTCTAGGTGGTTTCCCAGTGACAGCAGGTGGCCCAGGAAAAGGTCTTCTGCCTTCTCATATGGTACCATTCAGTGTTTGAGTAGGAGCCTTTGGATTAACAGAAAAATAAATCTGATCAGAATAATACTGGAATGGCTAATACAATGAAACTGTCATTGAAAATGAAACTCATAAAAGCAAGTCAGAACCTACAAGCTAAACTTAAATAGAAAAAATACCTGCTAAAATTGAAGATTTAAGTAGGATTAAGTATTTTCTAATGTAATAATCAGAACATATAGAATGCAATAGATAATCATTTATCTTACTAAGAAGGAGGAAAAGCACAATTAGAATGATAATAGAAATGGAAAATCCCAAAAGCCCTGTATATTCCCACAAATGTAAGAATACAGAAAATCAAAAGCTGTCCATTGACAAGAAAAGGACCAATAAATGGCAAAAATCACATACATATCAACTCATTTCCTCACTGGGAATCAAACCCAGGCTGCTGCAGTGAAAGCACAGAATTGTAAACAACAGATCACAAGGTGAATACAATTTTGTTGTCAATCCTACAAGGGCAGTGTACAAAGGATTTTTATGTTTGTTTTAGATCAGAGTGTTGCTCTTTAATTTTGGTATCAGGGTAACGCTAGCCACATAAAAAGTTTGGAAATATTTCCTCCTCTACAGTTTTTTGGAAAAGTTTAAGAAGGATTAGTGTTTGTTTTACATTAAATATTTGGTAGAGTTCAGCCACGAAACTGTCAATTATAGGCTTTTTGTTTGATTGGAGACTTTTTATTACTTATTCAATCTCTTCACTCACCATTGGTCTGTTCAGATTTTATATTTATTCATGATTTAGTGTCGGTAGGTTGTATGTACCTATAAATTTACCCATTTCTTCTAGGTTATCCAATTTTTTGTTGTGTAATTATTCACAGTAATCTCTTATGATTCTTTGTTTTTCTGTGGTATCAGTTTTAATTTCTCCTTTTTCCTTTCTGATTTTATTTATTTGAGTCTATATTTTTTTCTTAGCCTAACTAACAACAGATATAATGTTTTGAATATATCTACACCACCAAAAATATTTGACTGTTTCAATGCAAACCCTGTGAGAATCCCAATGCCATATTTTACAGAAATGGAAAAACAGATTCTCAAATTCATATGAAACCACAAAATACCCAGAATAGCCAAACAATTTTGGGAAAGAAGAATGAAGCCAGTGATATGTCACTTCCAGAATTCAAATGTATTTTAAAGGTACAGTAATTAAAACAGTATGTTACCTGCATAAAGAAAGATATGTAGACTGCTGGAATAGCCCTGAGAGCATAGAAATAAACCTACACACAAAAGGTCAGCTGATCTTCCACAAGGTTGATAATAATACATAATAAGGAAATGATAGTCTCTTCCAGAAAGGGTGCTGGGAAATCTGGATATCCACTTGCAAAAGAATGAAGTCAGACCCTTATCTCATACCACACACAAAAATCAACTGAAATGAATCAAAGACTAAAATGTAAAACCTGAAACCATAAAACTCCTATAATAACACTTAGGAGATATGCTTCCTGACATTGATTTTGGCAATCATTTCTTGGGTATGACACCAAAAAACAAGTAGATAATTGGGACCACATCAAGCTAAAAAGATTATAGAGATCAAAGAAAACACTTAACTGAATAAAATGACAAACTACAAAATGGGAGAAAATATTTGCAAATCTTATATATAAAAAAAGGTTTATCTCTAAAATATATGTGAAATTCCTACAACTCGATATTAAAAATAAATTAAAAATCTCAACAAAATCCCCAATAACCTTATTAAAAATGAACTTAAAACTAGAATAGACATTTGTCCAAAGAAGACATACAAACAGCCAACAAGTAAATAAACAATGTTCAGCATAACTAATAATCAGATAAATGCAAATTAAAACCACAGTGAGATATCTTACCCCTGGCACAATGACTATTATTAAAATAAAAGATAACAAGTGTGAGTGAGGTTGTAGAGAAATGGGAATCCTTGTACACTTAGTTGGGATGTAAAATGGTGAAGTTGTTATTGAAAACATTATGGAAATTCCTCAAGAAAATAAAAATAGAACTTCCATATGATCTGGCAATCTCACTTCTAGGTATATATCCAAAAGAATTGAAATCAGGATCTCAAAGAGAATATCTACACTCCCACATTATTTGCAGCATTATTCACAATAGCAGAGATATGGAAACAACCCAAATGCTCATCAGTGGATAAATGGATAAAGAAAATGTGGTATATATACATACATATATATGTAAAATATATAGACAAGTGTGTGTGTACACAATAAAATTTTATTTAGCCTTAAAAAAAGAAGGAAATCCTGTCATATATGACTACATGGATGAACATGGAGGATATTATGTTAAGCAAAAACAGCCACTCATGGAACGACAAATACTGCATGATCCCAGTTATGTGAGGTACATAAAACAGCCAAACTCATAAAAACAGAGAGTAAAATGGTGGTGACCAGGTACTGGGGGGGGGGGGGGGGTGATGGGGAAATAAGGACTGTTGTGCAATTTGTATAACATTTCAAATTAGATCAGAGATTAATGAAATAAGGAACAGAAACAATAGGAAAAAAAATCAGAGAAACCAAAACTGGTTCTTGAGATCAACCAAATTGACAAATTTTTAGCAAGATTGACCAAAAAAAGACAGAATGCTCAAAATACTAAAATTATAAATGAGAGACATTATTATAGACCACAAAGAAATAAAAATTACTTTAATGGACAATTATAAGTAATTATATTCCACAAAATTAGATAATTTAGATATAGTAAACAAATGTTTGCAAAGACACACATTGATGAAACTAATGCAAAAAATTAGAAAATATTAACTGATGTATAACACATAAAAATATTGAATTATTAATCCAAAAAGTCTTCCTACCAAAAAGTTCCATGGAACCAGATGACTTCACTGGTGAAGTCTAAAAAAAAAAATTCAATGTGATCCATTTCAAAATTCTAGCAGAATTTTTTGCATAAATTAACAAGCTGATCTTAAAATTAATATGAAAATGCAAAAGACACAGAATAGCCACAATAATATTGCAAAATAGGAAAAAGTTGAAAGACTCACATTCCTTATTTCAAAACTTACTAAAAAGCTTCAATAATCAAGACTATTTAGTACTGGCATAAGCATTGACATATAGGTCAAGGTAATAGAACTGGAAATCTAAATAGTAACCCACACACCTATAGTCAATTGGGTTTTGATAAAGTCTCCAAGACTTAATGAGTACAAAGAGATCTTTTCAACAAATGGTGCTGGAATAGCTGTTTATTCCCATGAATTGGTATGAAGTTGAATCTTTGCCTGTTACCTTATATAAAAATCAACTAAAATTTATGAAATACCTAAATTTATGAGCTAAATCTCTTAGAGGAAACAAAGATGTACATCTACATGACCATGCATATAACAACTGTTTCTTAGACATGACACCGAGGGCACACTCAGCAAAAGAAAACAGAAAAATTGAACATCACCAAAATTAAAAAAATAATTATGCTTTAAAGGTCACTGTTATTAGTCATGGTTTTCTAGGGAAACAGAAAAAATAGAATATTTATGTATGTATGCATGTATATATGTGTTTATTTATTTACTTATTCATTAAAAAATCAGCTCATGTGATTATGGGAGACCAGCAAATCCAAAGATCTGAAAGGTGAATTTGTGAGCTGGAGATGTAGGAAAGCTAATAGTGTATTCTAGTCTGATAGTTGGCAGGCTCAGGACCCAGGAAGAGCTGATATTTTAGAGTCCAAAAACAGGAAAAAAATCAGCATACAGAATTCAAAGGACATCAGGTAGGAATGATTGTCCCTTACTTGGGGGAGGGTCCAGCCTTTTTGTTTTATTCAAGCCTTCCACTGATTGGGTGAGGCCCACCCACATTGGGGAGGACCATCTGCTTTATACCAATTTAAGTGTTAAATATTATACAATAACATTCTCACAGAAATACCAAGAATAATGCTTGACTAAATATTTGGGCAACTCATGCTCCAGTCAAGTTGATACATAAAATTACCTGTCACAGACACTATTGAGGTGATAATTAAACTGATAAAATGGAAAAAAGTATCTGTTCTGTCATATACCTGATAGTCTCTTATCCTTAATATATAAAGAATTTTTACAATTAAATAATAAAGAGACAGCCAAATTAAACATGGGCATCTGTTTTGAATACACATTTCTTTGAAAATGATATGCACAAAAGATACTTGGTATTCTTAGTCATTAGGAAAATGAAAGTGACAATGAGATAACACTTCACATTCAAGAGGATGGCTATGATAGAAATAATGGGCAATAACAAATGTTGGCAAGTATTTAATTGGCATTTTCACACATTTCTGGTAAGAATGTAAAATGATGCAGTCACTTTGGAAAAAATCTTGACAGTTTTTCAAAAAGTGTAACATAGAGTTATCATAGGACCCAGTAATTCTCCTCCTAGGTATATATATTGGAAAATTAAAAACATATGTTATGGTGGTAAATTTTAAATGTTTATTATTTAATGATTCACAGACCAATTAAAATTAAACTCCAAAAACATATATTTACACAAAAACTTGTATATGAGTGTTCATAGCAGCATTATTTATAATAGCCAAAAAATGAACAAAAACTCTAATGTACATCAATTGATGAATGGATAAATAAAATGTGCTAGAGCCATACAATGGAATATTATTCAGGCATAAAAATGAAGTCATTCACTGCAATGATGGACTGCATATAGGACAGTGGCCCCATAAGACTGTAATGAAACTAAACAAATCTTTTCGCCTGGTGCTGTTGCAATGTCATAGCACAACACATTACTTTTTCTAGGTTTAGATATGTTTAGAAACACAAATACCATTGTGTTATAGTTGCCTATAGTATTCACTACTGTAACATGCTGTACAGGTTTGTAGCCTAGGAACAATAGGCTATATCCTATGGCCTAGGTGCGTAGTAGGCTGTGTCATTTAGGTTTGTGTAAGTACACTCTGTG